GCTGTCAGCTAGGGACGTGACGTTTATGCCGATAATCTAGAGTTGCGCCAATTCTATAGCACGGTACTAATTTTATTCCTAACAGTACATTATTTATTAAAAGAAAGAGAGAGAGAGAGAGAACTCTTGGTGAACCAAGAGGTTATTTTAGAAACTTTTGTGCTCCGTACGCCGACAATAACTAACCTTTGCTATGAAGACAATTAGGTCTCTTTATTTTTCATTTGCGTATGGCTGTTCTATTACCAAACTTACTAATAATAGTATACTAATATCATAAATGCGAAAGTTTAGATGTATGGATGGTTGAATCGATCTCCATGAAATTTGGTATAGACGTAGAAGATAGTCTAGAAGAACACAGACTTCTCACCTTTCTTCTTTTTTAATTTCATGCGGACGGAGTTGCGGGCGAAAGCTAGTTAAAATAAGTAAACTACCTTTTTTCTTTAATTCTAGTTTGTCTACCATCAGACTCATACAGACTAAATAACTACAAAATCCCGTTAATACGTACCAATAATCCTGTTAAGCCTGAATGTGAGGTAGTTGGCGAGTATGCCGCACATGTGGGCGCCGAGCGAGTGCCCGACGCACGTGAGCCTGTCGGGGCGCAGGCCGGCCTGGCGGAGCGCGCCCAGCGCCTGCGCCACGCAGCGCGCCGCGGGCCGCAGGTTGTGCACCGCCGCCACGTAGCACGGCGGCTGGCACAGCGCGCCCCAGTCCACCATCAGCACGTTGTAGCCGCCGCGACGCAAATACGCTGTAAGAATTTAGACACATGATAATTTGTGACATTGGCTGAGGGATTATTGTAATTTTAACGTGATAACTTTTAATTTTTAATAAAGAAATAAAGATTGCAAACTAAAGTCGCTGACCCAAACATCTTAGGGCAACGAGAGGGCGGCGTTAAGACGTCCCAAAATAAAATTTTAAAAAAGTACACAATAAAGATCCTAAGGTGGCGGTGTGTGTGGTTTCCATGAAGTGACAATGGTTAATCCATTGAATTTAAATGTAATTGTGTAATAGGAAGAAAATTCCATCAAACATACAATGCGTTTCTCCACTATAAATGGAATATAAAGAAACATTTCACGTCAACTGCGTATTACGTAACTCTTGATGTTTCCTGATTCTGCGCACCTTTTACTATGATTAGAATAAATATAAGGCGACAAACGACTAAAGTTTATATAACTTATGAAACAAGATTTTGATAAATCTATGAAATAAATTAGCAAACAAATAAGCAGTTCAAATGATATTTAATAACAATCATTTCTTACTAACTTTCGCCCGCGACTCCGGCCGCGTAGAGTTAACAAACGAAAAGAAAGTAACCTTGTTCTTAGTATGTGTTTTTCCGAACTATCCTCTACATCAATGCCAAATTTCATCGAGATCCGTTAAGCAGTTTAGGCGACAAACTCTAACAAACATCCATTTAAACTTTTGCATTTGTAATATCAGTAATATATATAAAAGTTAACATTTACTTAAGTCAAAGGAGACGCAAGCATTCCTTTTATGATATGATTTTTCACCAGTACAATTAAGAATTACAGTCTATTCTTTAGACAACAAAATTTATGGCAACATTTAATTAACATTGTTACAGAAGATGCATTTAATGTAAATAGGCTCAACAAACGGAGAAAGTGGGAAATGCGTAAAGTGCATAGCAACTTGTCAAGTTGTTATATCACCTGGAGCACTTTCACTCTCCTTGTTGATTTCTATAGAGTTTAAGTGGGCATTATAACATACAAACTACTATCTTATTAATTACTAAATGTCATAAATGTTAAAGTTTAGATAGATGCATGTTAGGTAACTCCAAAACAGCTAAAGGGCGCGGACGAAGTCGCGGTTTGCAGCAAATGTTATTTGTAATAATATTCTGTAGTCTATTCGTAACAAGTCTGTTTGTTTAGAACAGAACTTTTAGAACAGGTTTATAATTAGTTCAGGAATATAATAGTAATCTTCTTATAGACATCTTTTTAACTGACTTAATTTACAGAAACGTTTTTTTCATTCATTAATTATTACAAGGCCAAAGAAAGTATAGATGGACGCGTGAAAGAGGTTATGTTTAAGAAGGTAGTTAATTCAGATATAACTGCTGATAGAAATGTATGGAAGAGCAGCATAATGTGCCAACCCTCCGTAGGGATAAGGGCAAGTTAATGATGATTAATTTTTACTAGTTAGGACAAAGACACTGATGTTATCTGAGAATTGAGGTTCAATTGTTTTACTTAGAGACAGTGGGAATTATTCAAAGGAAGTTAGGAAGTTGAATTGACATCGGGTCATAGAGCAACGGAAGTTTAACTCTCACAACAATGTTCTCATAACTCAACTACGAATTAAAGTTAAGGGAAAATTTAAGTCGATATAGTTATATGGCTCTACTATTATTTTGAACATACTACAGAATTTAAAAATACCTGTTAATTAATATAGCCTATTACACCTGGAAATAGTGTAGCATCACAACAGTGAAAGAGTTGTTCATATTGGTTCAGTAGTTTCGTAGCCTATTCAATACAAACAATCAAATCTTTCCTCTATGAAATAACAGTACAAATAAGAGTTACAACCACTGCAAAAACGACAATATATTTTATCCTTCATACTCTCTATGACAAAACTGAGAAAGCAATATGTTAATCTTGCTGTCTTTTCTTTACAGTTTTGTGATTTAAATCCATATTCTGTTTGTAATAAGGTTTACTTTTAAAAACATTATAACTCAACTTACAAACGTTTCGTAGGCATTGTGTATGAAATCTTCCTTACAAAAGATTTCAACGCAACCCTATGAGATTTATTACTAATACAACAATGAGTTTTACCGAAAAATCTAAAGATGTTTCTCAGAATCTTAAATAAAACTTACAAAAATATGCAAATCATGTAAATGTTTAAGTGAAACCGATTTAAACGCAAACGGAATAGTAAATACAATTTTTTCCGTAAGAGTTTTTACGTAACAATACGTAAAACAAAATGTATATTTGAATATGTTACTTGTTAATATACGTGAAAGGAGATTTAATTATTTATTGCTATCACTATTTTCTACCTAAAGAAGTGTTGAGTTTAATTACGTAAAGAAATAGAAATTATTTCGTGTACCTACCAACACATCTTTTACATTTTTCCTATTATTAAATCTACAGACAATATTAAAATGAAATTTTATTTTTACGAAGCAAAAATATTACGACAAAACTTATGCCAAGTTTTCGAATCATAAGTTCTGAATATTTAACCATAATAAATGTATACTTTCTAATGAGCGCATCATTTAATAAATGATTATTATAAATTAGTCAAACTTAATTAAATTTCTAAACACAGTTTTAATATAGAAACTTTTGCAAACAGTTTCTCTACAAGTATCGTCAATGCTCTATGTTTTTTTAACCCTGCATCCAATTTTATTGAAACTTTTGTAAATTATTATAATGAAGTCACAGAAAGTTTATGCCTCTAAATGTAAAAATGTATTAATCAGTAGGTGTTTAGTAAATCATTAATTCCACCACTTACCATCTCTGAGTACGACAATAGGCAAGGTATCGTCTCCCCCCGCATAGCCGTGTATTAACAGGATGGTCTCGTGCGAAGGCTCCCAACCGCTTTGTCTCAGCCAGTCTTCGCTGAATAGGTCTACCTGTGAACGTTATTATGTTACAACAAGCTAACAGACCATGTATAGACAATTCAAAATCAGTCAATAATCTGGATGACTTCTTTTTTATAACGAAGAAATTTTAAATCCATTGTCGACGAAGTAAGAATTGAGTAGCTCCAGTGGTAGAGAATTAAGGGGTAAAAGGTTAGCAGGACATGGGCGTGTTATGAGGAGAGATGAATCGCATGTAAGGATGAAGTTAGCTATAAGTGTGGTACACCGCTAGAGGTAGTGACATGATCAAGGAGGGAATAATGACTGAGATGATGGATGATAGACTTATTTGGAGGATGAAAACCTGATGCGATGACGTCGGCAAAGTCAGTAACTGGCTAGAAACACTTAAATTGTATTTCATTGATATTACCATAAGATAATGTCTTGTAAGATCTAGGCAAATCTAGATTGTCACTAATGTATTCAAATTTAATACGTGCTCATTTGTAATTATTGCATACAACGGCGTCGGCCGCATTCCTGTGCCATCGTCAAAATATGCGTGCCCCGTATACGGATGTGTTCCGGCATTCGCTTACCTTTTGTGTCATAAAATACGTATGTTTGTATTATTTTGTTTGTTATGATAAATAATGACAATACTACTTATGATCGTTTGACAAAATAAATGAGAACTTTATCATGGAACTTCTCGGTTCTTAAAGAGATTTTATTTACAGAAGATTAATACTTAGTTAATTTAAAAATCATAACAAATACACTTCTAATGTCGTCCAGCCGCTTAGATTAAATGTAAACCTAGGAGGTGAAAAAATCTGTAACTAATCACCTTTTACGCCACACAACGTAAATATTTGTCACCAGAAGGTGAAATGTAGAAACATATTTAGTATTTATTTACGTAAAATCCATGATTTTCTAGTTACTGTTCGATCTTTGCAAGAAGTATGTGTCATCAAAACTGCATAGAAGCACGTATTTGCCCATTTTGTTTTTAATTCATTGAGCACAAGGCCGCAGAGACCGTGTATTGTTTACACACGAACATAGAAACAGGTAGAGACACATGAATGAAGGACCCTTGTGACTGAGGAATGCTAGCGGTATTTTAGCGAAATAACCTAGTAAGCAAACATTGATTGTTAAAAAATAAAATAAAAACACGAATTAAAGTGACTTCAGATCTAAGAAAGTTTTATCATTTGATATTTCGTAGGCGCTTCTCAAAATTAAAATAATATATTAGAAATACGTGTACATATTTTGTAATTAAATTTTATTGCAAAAGAAATAAACATCTCTTATTAATTAAAACAACATCTTTGTATTTTATGTTTAGACACTTATGAATATGTATTGCTCTTCACAAATGGGGAAATGGATTGGCTGCTGCAGCATAGGGGAACCTAGTGCAGGAGCCAAGGCTCTCATGAAATGTGTATATTTTTAAAGTGAAATAATAAAGGATTTGTTTATTTATTTATTTATTTATTAATGGCTGTATAGAGGTCAACAGATTTCTAAAATTCCTTAATATTTAAATAAATTTTCGGGACCAATTGTTTTTAATTATTACTGACTCAGAAACTAAATTCAAAATAGAGAAGCATTATTTACAGTAGATCTAAGACTATTATTACCTACGCAGTTAATTATTTCAGCCACTTAATATAAGAACGACATGCATTGTAGCCTCTGAAGAAAATATTGCAATGCTTCATAGATGTTGAGTTTAATTATAGCGCTACAATTTGTGTAAATAATTTTACGTTAAATATTGCGAGATAGAAAGTTTTAATTGACAATTCCGACTCTACAATTTTCTATAATCTATGTCTAGTTGCTAAGTCTAAGATTTACATGCATTTAAAAAAAACAACACTATTCTAATATAGTTTTTATATTTTTAAGTTGAATTAATATCTATCTCTAGTATTGTTAGTGGAAAGAAAGTGTTTCCACTTAGAAATCGTTAGAAAAACTGCTTTGTATTCTCCCGAGGCGCGAGTAACGGACGCGACGTATACTACGAGGACGTTGTTAAATTTTAGTTAAACGGGTCACGGACTGTATTGGTTGCCTGATTTTATGAACTAGTTCTCATAACATTTATATAGACTATCTAATTCAGCAGACTAAGCATCACTGTTTTTTATTAAATAAAGAAAATCATTTTTAATTTTTAGTCTACGATAATTCAATTTTTAATCTATGGCACTCCCTTAGCGGATTGGGTCAGTGTCGAGTGTTTATGGTTTAATTCTTGTTCGGAACAGTTCGAAGAGAATGGCAAAAATACTCTGCTGATTGAAAAGTTTCGTATGTCTACAATAATTATGGACTCACGATACGAAAGTATTTCACAGCTTTAATATATGTATTAGTACAATTGTAAATAGTTTGAGGAGTATGTAAATTTCGTAATAGAAATAACGACTAAATAAATAGTCATAATTATTTTTCACAGGATAACTCCCTTTTATATTGTATCATCCTTTAATGGAGATAGGATATACAGGAGAGAAAACATGCAGATAAAAAATCGTGATTTAATTTAACAAGGGAGGTATTTTGAACTATACGTACAGTTTTTTTGAAAGGCTCCGACTCTGTATACAAGTTGATAATGACGTTGGGATCAGGGCAGGGCTCGCGGTCTCGTCGCCACACGCAGTCCTCGAACGAGGCGTTTGCGTAGATGTCGTTGTTGAGGTATAGAGCATCTTTGATTGGCTTGCGTTGACCACAAACATCTAATACAATAGGAAACAACGTTAATTTTATATAAGGTAATGTAGTAAGAATTCTGAAATATACATAATTTATCAATTTATTTAATAACTTATTGGTTATTAGCCTGTTTTTTTTTTGAGCTAATTCTCGGACATGCTATGCTTATTTCTAGCCTCATCAAATTGATTAAATATACTGTTACCAAAAAAACAACGCGTCAAAATCAATAATTAAATTCACTTTTTATTTTTAAATTGTAATGAAATAACTCAAAAACTACTGGAGCGATTTCAAAAATTCTTGTACCATTAAAAAGATATATTATCACTAAGTATAATATAGGCTAGGTATTTAGCTTTTTTTCAATAGGCGAAGTCGCGAGCAATAATAAGTTAAATATAAATCTAGAAACTTTTAATTTTTAATAAGAACAATAAAAAATCTAAAGCTTTAAAATAAGTTTAATCTTAAAAATCTAAAATGAACTAAATTTAAAAATAAACGAAAGTAAAGTTAATTAATTCAGTGACATATATTATTTGGTTTGTACATACCGTGAAGAAATAGTGATATTACGATGATGAAAAAAGACGCGAATTTGTTACAAGGCATGTTCGCCTGCCGCGGTCGCTTGCTAAACTGAACTCAACGCAAGAGACGCGTTACGAAGTGCCTACCATAATTCGCACGCATATTATGTTTTGTATCACTTAAGGGTTTGAAAGATTTCATAATAAGTGTACATTTCAAACGATATTACAATCGCCGGATATTAGTTTAATTAATTAATTAAACTAGTAGTCGATCCCGAATTATTTTACTAAATCACAAGGTTAATTGTATTAAATTTATTATTTTAAATCAAATCAAATAGACATAGGGTAGTATCGACTAATAATGCAGAGGTTTTTAATTTTTATGGCAGCGCTACTGTTATGCCCATTTCCTTACAACTACGTCTTTTCATTATTCTGTTCCCCATTAGTCTATTTTAAACTTGATTGTTTTTTTATAATTTTATATTGGTCTGGTAAATTAAATTTTGAATTCCGATATGAACAATCTGTCACTGTAAGTATATGTTGTGTAAAACTTTAGGATTGTATAATAGAATAAAAGTTTTGTCAGGCGCTAAAAATTCATATTACTAAATTTTACAAACTATAATATCAAGTACACTCTAAAAGATGTAATGAATTCTTTCGTGTTTAAATGAAATTTATGTCAAGTTTCGAAAAGACAATGACAAAAGCTTTGTCAGCAAAATCAAGTTTGGCTTTTAACAATAATCATCCGTTTATTGTTACTGTTAAACTGAACGAAGGGTTTAGAATTTAGATCAATAAATCAATATAATATCGGTAGGTACTCACTGCACATTCTTATTTGTGTTTCACCTCGCCCTCACTTTTTAAGTAGGATCAATAAAAGAAAGAGAGTAAGGTACACTAGCTAGCAGAAGGTAGAATTCAAGCTCTCAATGGTATATATACAAGGTTTTTTTAGCTTCAATGCCATATTCGTAGAGGATATTTAGAACAATTCCTTTAAGAAATGTACCTACTTCATATTTACCACCTCAGAAAACCGATGTGCTTTCGAAGCTTTAAAAAAGTTTTTAAAATATTATACCAAATTAATTAGGTACCAGTGTGTGTAATTGAGTTATACCAAGGTTATTTGTAAATGTAATCTGGCTCTTAACTACACTATGCAAGTTGCGTTGAAATCGTATATCTCTACACATGTACCTATGAAAAGAATCAGCGAAATCTCAAAGACTATACGCGTGTAGTGGAGGCTCTACGTGTACGTATACAAAGTGAATGATTGTCGTTTGTTTGTGTGCATGTGCGCAGGTGAGAGAGCACGCGGCGGAGCGGGACGGCGCGACAGCCTCCGCGCAGCCGGCGCGCACCGTCGCCGACACGACCAGCCAGTCTGAGACA